AAAAACAACTTCTTCATCTTAAACCCACGACAGATGATAGAGAATTCATATCTGAGGTAATGGTCCTGAAAGCTCTTTCAAAATTTTGGATAACCCAAACTATGAAATATACATTTTATCTGAGGTATATTTATTGCATTTAATTATTGGCAAATTGGTCATGCATGTCACACAAATATAGCTTCTCATCATAAAAAAAAAAAACTTTTAGATGTGGGAAACCACAGACATTTTAAATGCTTTTAAAACTCTATGCAAATTTAAGTATACAGATGCTGACCTAATGAGTGAGTGCCTATAAAAGCGTAAACTTTCACAAGCTGCTTCTACTGAACGTCGACTCTTGCACCTATCTTCACCAGAGCAAAGCTGCTTGTAAAAGGATGAGAGAGAAGTGTTTACCAAGAGAATACCAATAATTATACAGCCAGACATGGAAGTGCCTTAGGTTTCAATCAAGGGGAGAAGGGGGGTAAGAGGCAGAAGAATTCACAAAGAGTTCTTAAAACAAATCGAGAACATTGTGTAGAAGTTGAACTCATAAAGTCAGTGCTCGTTAAATACTTCAAATATGTTCCTCCACTTTCCGCTGCTTCCCTGTGGCCAAGTTTGGGCAAAATGACTAATACTGGCTCAATATACTATGAATTGTAACGACAGAGGAGGTTATTGTAAATAACCCTTACCATCAAATGATCTCTCTCTCTCTTTCCCTCGCCCCTCCTCCAGGGAATACCTTGTGATGAACCCTAGGTACTTTGTATCCACAGACTGAGCATTCATTCACTCATTTATACATTGAACGTATAAACCAATGTGGGTGTGCATACGAATGTATGTATATTTTGATATGTGTGTGTACACAGTTACATATATGTATACACACACACACACACACACACCCCTACCCTGAGACACTCCTTTGGCACTCACATACACTCATACCACTCTCTCACGTGGTTTTTAAATAAGAAATAGAAATTAGGTCTCTACAGAATACTATTTTGCCATGTACAATGTGCCTGTGAACATCTGCATTGATGGATTTAAATGGAATTCCTGGAAAACAATGGCGTGAAGTCTGATTTTAAAATAAGTCCAATTACAGCTTTGTAGAGTATTACAACGATGTTGATGACGATGACTGATATCATGTCATAATGCTGAATTTCTTTTTTATAAATTTATAGAGACAATAAGCAAGGTGTTAGGTTATTAATGGTGCCAGTGACTGAATTCTGAGTTTGGCTGCATATCAAGAAGAGTTAGACTATTTTGCAATATATGCCTTGCACACTAAATTTAATCTACCAGAGGTCTGAAGAAAGGAGGTAATCAAGAACAGGAGATAAACAATGCTGAGCAACATTACTTTTGCTTTATTTATTTTTCTAGGTTTTTAAAGTAACATTATCTTAAAAGAAAAAAGACTGGTAACCATGACATTGTGAATTACAATAGCAATTATGCAAGAGATAAGATGGCTAGAGAAATTAAACAATTATCAGAACTTTTATGTCCCACAAAAGAAAAACAATATATTCAGAGACATTGATACATTATAATGAAAGCTTAACATAAAGTTTAAAGAAATGACTGAGTCATAGCATTATACCTTTAATAGCTAATATCTATAAAACTTCATGATTTCATAAATATTTTTAATGAGCAGTAGTAAAATTCAGGAAAATGATTCTATTTATTTCTCAAAATAGTCAAAATCACTCTGCTACTTACTGCTTTGGCCAAAGTGTTGGCCAAGGGACCATGTTCAACAGGTTGCATTAGATTTACAAAGGCCCTCTTAACCACTTAAACCCAGAACCACCCTTGCAAAGGCTGGCCCACTGGCTAGTGGGCAGGAAATGCTTTCGTTCCATCACCCAGCGAAACACTGAATACTAATTTGCAAGGAGGAATGGATACATGAGAACAACCTGTCGCTCCCCCTCTTCATGGAGGAACGACACTAAACCCTGCCTAGGTTTCCTATCCGGGTCACGGCACCATTATGTCGCTCCCCCTCTTCGTGGAGGAGCGACACTGAACCCTGCGCTGTTCTTTTGTCTGCTCGGCCCTCCCCGGGTTTGCTGCTGGTTCTTCCCGGGTTGGCTACCGACCCTTCCACCTCCGTGGAAGGGCGGTTCCCCCTAGCCACTTTCCCCACTTCCGCAGGGGAGCAGTACACCGCTGGCCGGCTCTCTCGGGGGCTGCACAGGTGTTCCTTCAGATAGATGTTCCCCTTAGATGTTCCTGGTGCATGTTGTCTCTCTCCTCCTTTATAGTCCTCTTCCGCCAATCCCAACTCTGCTACCCACACGCCGAGTACGCTGCTCTCCTCCAATCGGGAGCAGGTCCTACAGTTTATTGGTTGAACTGGAGGCAGCTGTGTAGAAGCTGTTTCCTCCTCTCCCAGCGCCATATTGTGGGAAAGCAGATGCGTAGAATAAGTCTTAATTCCAGTAACTTAGTCTAGTCCCAGTTGCTCCCCACACAACCCATCACAAAATGCGCTTGGTGTCATAATTGTGTCTAAGCAACTGGCCCCACCCCAGGCATTCTTCTCTTTAGAATATTATCAAATTAGTTTTCTTGAGTTCTGTCTGTAATAAATAAAATATCTAAGAATTATCCATGAAAAGTTAAGTATATTTTGAAATGCAGTGTTGGGCATGAACTATACAAAAATCATCATGCATCCTTAGTTAACATATAATACCTTTTCTGGAAAAGTTACTAGTTTTGAGTCCATGGATTAAGAATTATGCATTAGTAACTATGAACTTAAAATGTTCAGGTTTAGATAATATGCGTTGCTATGACTACACATTTTGGGTTTTTTTTAGACTTACAATACTTGTTTAGTTTTCCCATCCTATGAGGACCTCTCAGAACTTAAGCTTCACAAAACCATCTTCGTGAAGCTGCACCTTCTGAATTAACTTAGCTGAATACCAGAACAGTCTGAATAATAGTAATTTTTAAAAAGTCTCTGGGGTTTTAAAAAAAGACTACGGTTAATTTAGTAGTTTGATTTGATATTAACAGAACCTCTCCAATACCAAACTTCGAGGCTGACGCCTAAGCTGTAGAAATGCTGTAGAAATGGAAGAGGACTAATCTGCTGTTTGCAGGGTGCTCCACAAAGGCGTGGCGGTGAAGGGCGAGGAGGAGAGAAGGGGCGGCTGGCAGGCAGGCGGTCGGTGTGCGCGCGCACACACACACACACACACACACACGGAGGTCTTGCACGCCACGGTCACCCCGGCTGCACGCCAGGCCCTTTCCTCCGCTCTGTCTTGGACTTGGGTGGCCTGTTTAGCTTTCATTGAACAAAAATTCTGGAGAGCTCGGCTCTAGGGAACGCTCCTGCGGGAGTCCGGGACCCAGCGCGCAGCCAGGCGATGCTCGGGGTTCTGGGTGCAGCGCTCTCGCGTCAAGGAAGACGCACGCGTCCACGCGTGGGCTGCCGCGGTCCGAGGTGTCAGAGGAGGGCTGCAAAGGTCAAGCTGGGAAGGCGGCCTTCTCCGCCAGGGCCGGGTCCGCACCCCGCTGACAGCCGGGCACTGTGTCCAGCAGCCTCCACGTGGCTCGGCCCTGATCTCCCTGGAGAGGAGCCGGAGGAGAAGCCCTCGGAGCTCGGCTGCGGGTCAGAGCCCCGCGCCTGCTCTCCCTCGACCCGGGCGGGCCGAGGCCGGCTTTGCGGGCCCCCAGCCTGAGGCAGACCTGCTGCGTTCCGGGGCGGCCCCGTGTGCCCTCGCGGCTCCTCCAGCCGCAGCAGCCCGTAGCTCGCCTGCGCCCCCGACACCTGCCTCTGCCGAGTCCGCACTAAGCCGACTGTGCCTCGGTTCAACTCGCTGACGATACATTGCTTCTCTCTTCTATTTTACTTCCCCCCCTGAAAATTCCCGAAGTTCTGGCCCTCTCCAAGTTGGGGTTTGCAATTCACACAGCCGGGGGGCGCAGGGGACGGTCCAGCTCCAGGCCACTTCGCCTCCAGGTTCCCGGGGCTCCACAGAACTGGAACTTGTGGCAACACCGAGGTAGAAAGACTGCCAGGGGCCCCGGAAAACCGGCACTTCCTCTCCCAGCCGGCAGCCCCACTCGGCGAGTCCGGGTCGCAGCCTGGCGTCGCGCGCTCCCCGGGGAACCCCGCACCGAGCGCGAGCAGCAGCGGCCGCCCCGCCCGTCCACGCCCAGGTCCTCCGCATCCGTTGGCGCCCCTCTCCTCCCACTCTGGTCAGCACAGAAGTTTGGACACCCGTTCCCCGGCGTGTGTGTGCGCGCGTGTGTGCGTTGCGTGTGCGTGTGTAAACTGCTTCTTCCCCCCCAGAGGAGCGGCTTTCAAGAAAGTAGCGAAAGGTCGCCTAAACTTTGCTGTCGCTGCGTGTCCGGGCGGGTGCGGGAACGCACACCTGCCTGCGCGCGGGCGCAGGTGCACACGGAGGGGCGCGCGCAGAGGGCTGGGGAGCCCGGGTGGGTACCACTTCCGAGCGCATTCAAGGCGCCGGCAAAGGACGAGGAACGCGCGGCGCTGGGAGGGCATCCAAAGACAATTTCGACATAGGCTTGGGAAGCGGGAACCAGAAAATGGTGATCCTGCACACGCACACGCACACGGGCGTCTGCACACGGAGCAGTTCCAGGCGAAAGGCGCACACTTTGGAGAGCCGCCGTGGATCGCCTCATTTGGGCATCTCCTCCTCCCAGGCGCATTCATTTGTGGAACTGACCACCCCTTCCCTGCGCCGCACTTCTCCGGGTGGCACACACCAGCCCCCCGCACTTGGGGAGGGGGGTTCCTGGAGCCCCACGCTCCGCCCGCAGAGCCCCGCGGGCAGGTGCGCGGCCTCGCCCCGCCAAGCAACAAGCGGGCTGCGGGGCGGGTGGGCCCGGTTCCTCCCAGCCCCAGTGGCCCCCTGCGGGTCACCTCTCCCCGCCCCCCACCCCGGCGGCGCCCAGGAGCGCAGGGAAAGGAGCGAGCCAAGCGTGCAACTCACCCCTAGCTTCCTGCTGCGGATCTTCACGTAGCCCTGCTTGACTATGTCGTTAAAGTTGGAGGCCATGGCCAGCGCGGTGGGGCTCGTCCGCGGCGCGAGCCGCTGCCCGGAGTCCAGAGCCGCCGTCCGCCGCCGGGTTCGCTCATCCAGCCCGCCGCCGCCGCCGCCGCCCGGCGCTCACGAGCTCCCGCCCGCGGGGACGCGGGGTCGGTGGCAGGGCCGCCGCTGCCGGGGAGCGGGGCCCAGCGCCGCGAGCCGCGCAGCCCGCCGCGTTCCGGCCCGCCCCTCCGCCCCCGCCGCCAGCTGCGGGCGCCCCCTGCGCGCCGCCGCCCCCAGCAGCACCCACGGGCTGGCGCCTGGCTCGGCGGCGCACAGCTGGCCGGAGCGCACCGCCGCGGCTCCCCGGCGCGGGGGCGGGGGCGGCCGGCGCGGGGGGCGGGCGGATGCGCCGCCCGGCTCCCTCCCCCCGGCCCGCGGGGCGGCGGGGCTGGGAGATGCTCGCAGGGCGCGTCGCATCGCTGTGGGCGCGGGGTGGCTAGCTTCCCCCGCCGGCCCGCGCGCCCCGGGGCGGGATTCCTAAGGACAGGGCTCCTACTGAGCGCCTCTCCCGAGGTGGGCCCGGTGTTGGGGGTGGGAAGGGCGGTGGGGGCGGCGAGAGGCCGCGGTGCGCTGCCGGGGCCGTGTTTACAACGCGCGTGTATCCCGAAGCCCACGCGGCCGTTCCGGGGCTTTGCCCCGCTCGGAAGTGCGAGGCGACGCCAAGCCCTTCCCGGTGCACACAAAGAGGCCGATCGTGCGCATGTGTCTAAGGCTCCAGCCGCTGGAGACAGCGGAGTCGGCAGGCGAGGCCGCCGGCCCCGCGTCGCGGCGCAGGAAGCCTGCCCGAGCGCCCCGGCGGGCGGCCGGGTGGTTGCGTGCGCTCCGGCGGCCGCGGCCGGGGAGGGAGCGGGCGGCCGTGGGCCGTGGGCGCGCGAGATGCTCAACTTGTAAACACAGGAGGACCCAGAACTTTCCCCCCCAGTGCAGGAAGGCAGGCTGATAAAAGCGGTCTGACTCTATCGTAAAGACATTCTAGTTTTTAGAAATAATTTGGTTTTGATACGATTCAAGGAGGAAAAAGAGCGCTGGAGGACATAGGTGGCTTTTTACCTCGTCGGGAACATTTAGTACTTAGGAGCTACGGATATTTCTAATTAACCATACACAAAAAAATTGCTTAAAGGTTGAAAATGTACGACTCCCTCATTTGTGGAGTTTAATGAATATTCAAAATGTCGTGGTTTTTGTGCTCAGGATGGCTAGCAGTCTTTTCCAGGTTCTCACAGGAAATTTCTAAGCCCTCTTTGGAACTAACCGCATTGGGGGAAAGGAAACAACTGGATTGAGGGGGAGGGAAATGTGGAAGCTCTAGGGACAAGGTCATTTGTCCTTTGCCCCAGCCGAGTGAGCATCCCAAGGGCAGTGTTGGTCCCATCCGCAGCGGGAGTCTCCATCAGGGCCCCAGCACGTATTCACTCAGGTGTGGAGCCATTTGTTTTGTTGATAAATGGCTGCCCACCATGCAAAATACCAAGTACTGATACTGAGAAGAACATGGCCGAGTCCACTCCGCTGGGTTCTTACTCTGCAGTGAGCTCTAATTATCTTTCCCAGAGCATTTGCATAAACTCTACATTATGTCCATGTAATTCCCTCCTTGAAATGCCTGGGACAGACCGACGTATTGTCTGCTCCGCTCCTCTGTTACTGTTTCATCTACTACATGGCTACTGCATTTTTTTTTTGATATGGGAAAACTGTATTAGACCTATAAGTACTCTAAATTCATCATTTTGTTCAGCCTCTTTGCAACCAAATGTGGTACATGGTATTCATTGGATAAGACTGGGATTCACAGATGTTCCCTTACCCAACCACAGAGTCAGGATGGGTGTGGATCTACAGTAGTTTCCAGGGTCATCAACTTCCATCTTCATTTACCTAGCAATGTTTCCCCCTAAGTCAAAGGTAAGTTCTTTGAAATCAGATTGATTTTGTCCCAGCAACAACTGTTGTGCTTACATAATGCTCAGGCGAGGTAGGTCTCTGTGCCTTTTAATAGTTTTATAATGGTTGTGCCTGCACTCATGTATTTGAAAGCCTTTGTATCACCCTAATACAATTTAGATATTTTCTTACTTATCGTTGTAAAAGTTCTGAGATATTAGTTTTTGTATGTGTCTCCCTCTTTTGATGCTATTTTTGTCACTTGAAAGTACTGGTTTTTTGCATTGTAAGTGCTCCCGATTCTGGATTTGATAGTTTGTATCCTCATGACATCATTTAAAATATTCCTTTAAGCCAACATGTTGCATTAACTATTAGTGGTATTTGGCAATTTGATGACATTCTTCTATTCCCCAAAGCAGTTCATGAGAGATGGTATGTCTATACTACCAAGTCATGTTGAAGGGGCAAAATGTCTCCTGTCCAATGGATTAGAAGTTTACAGTGTTATCTGCTTGACCCACACATCTCATAAAACGTAGATAAAACAGAAAATTTCCACCAACTTTGAATCTAACCGTTTTTTGTATCCACTCATGACTGTTTTTCCAATGCATTATTTCATAAGGATTGTAAAGTAGTTATTTGCTAAGTTTATTTTATTCCTGAACTTACAAGCTGGTGTTATCTTGCTAAAAACAAAACAAAAAAACTCTGTTTTGAGAACTAGAGAATTGCCCTAAAATACATGCTATAAAAAACGCAGAACATGTTCTGCATTTTTTTGTTAGTGTTTATTTATTTGTATTTTATTTGAATAACAAGGGTGTGGGGTTTTTTTTGTCTTTTTTTTTTTTTAAGATATTTACCTGGAAAGTACAGTTTGAGAGAGAGAGGTTGTGGATCTGCTGGTTCACTCCCCAAATGATCACAACAGCTGGAGCTGAGCCAGGGCAAAGCCAGGAGCCAAGAGCTTCTTCTTGGTCTTGCACATGGGTGCATTATCTGTGCACTTGGGCCATCTTCCACTGCTTTTCCAGGCACATTAGCAGGGAGCTGGATGAGAAGTGGAGCAGCCAGGACTTGAACTGGTACCCTGCCTTGCAGACAGTGGCATTACCCACTGTGCCACAACACAGGCCCATGATTCTTAAACTTTATCAGCTGTTTTCAGAAATGCTGGATGGGTTCTAGCAAACTCAAAATGAATCATCCTTCCTATGGAGTATCATTATCAAAAATGTGGCTTTGTACATTTGAAGCATTTCAATCTGTCTCAGTCATTAGTCTTTTTGGTGCTTGAATTATTCCATCTTGGAACAGCAGGGGCTGCTTCAGTTTACCCAAAGACCTTACTCTCCTCAACTGGGATGAATTTCAAGTTAGTCCAGACTTATCTTGCACATTTCCCATTCTAGGCCTGGAATTCATGATTTTTCTTCCATTTTTGTTTTTCATTTTAATGGGGAATGACATATGGTTCCCATATTGTAGTTGTTAAAAGTATTTTTTTTTTTTTACTGGTTCTAAGCTTTACAGTTGCAAAGCAAAGAAATAGTTGTATTTTAGAAATACATCTTAAAAGAAAAATTCCCAATTTTAAGGGTATTTCCACTTCAAATTAATGTTGACAGACTGCAGTTTCTTCTCCTTTGAGATTTTCTTTGTGAAATATTTATAAGTTTCTGGGCCTGTGCTGTGGCATTGCAATAAAGCCACCGCCTGTAGTGCCAGCATCCTATATGGGCACCAGTTCGAGACTCAGCTGCTCAACTTCCAATCCAGCTCTCTGCTATGGCCTGGGAAAGCAGTAGAGGACGGCCCAAGTCCCTGGGCCCCTGCACCCACGTGGGAGTCCCGGAGGAAGCTCTTGGCTCCTGGCCTCAGATTGGCCATTTTGGGTGTGAACGACAGACTTTCTCTCTCTTTCTCTTTCTCTCTCTCTCTCTCTGCCTCTGCCTCTCTGTAACTCTGCCCTTCAAATAAATAAATAAATCTTTAAGAAAAGGAACTATTTACAGGTTTCCAGACTCAGATCTATCAAACAAGGTACACTGAGAGATACGGCTCTCATTTCTGTTCCATTTTCTGTTTTCTGTTTCTGCAGGAGGCCATTTTGTTTAAGATTTGTGTTTGTTTCTACCCTCACCAAAAAAAAAAAAAAAAAGTATGCAACATTTTATTCCTCTGATACACGGCCTCTAAAATGAGCCCCAACAATCCCCACCACTAGAATCCTGCTTTGCTCAATTCCTTCTTCTCAGTGTAGAGTGGACGTGTTGACTGCCTCCCAATGACTAGAGTGTGCAGAAGTAATGGAACATCCTTCCTGGATTGGGTTATAAAAAGACGGTGGCTCTGTCTTTGTTCATCCCGGATGGATTGTTCGTCCCGGGAGCCCAGCCGTCACAAGTAGGAAGCAATCCTATAGGCCTATAGGGATAACCCTGGGGTTGGCATTTACAGGCTCTCTGAAATCCAGACAGGTAAGCTCAGGATGGATCTCCCCCGCCAGGCCTTCAGAAGGACGTATTCTCCAGACGCTTTGAGAGACGCTGAGCCAGTACTGGCCCACTGGGCTGTGCTGCCCTGCGCCCAGAAATTCTTCTTGTCTTGGAAAGTTCTGCTTGTGTCTGCAGCCTATCTAAGCAAGATGAGCTGTAAAATCACGCCTATTGTTTCCACTTGCTAACTGTTAGGATTACTTATTCATAAATTGATAACAAAATTGATTTTCCTGTGTGGGGAGAGGGTGTTGTGTTAACAAAACCCCAACAATTTCAGAATGGCTTTGAAATCCATCAGTGGCTCAGAGAATATTAGTAAAGGCTTCAAGTACCTTGAATGCACCATTTGTAAATGTTGAGCATGGTGAGTGAGCTTTTACATTAGAGTGAAGAAAATATTTCTGAAAATTGAAAGATTATTCTGGTTATGTAATGGCAGGAAACTTAGCAATACTGTTCCATGAAGCAGTGTGGAAACCAGAAAATGGACCTAAAAATGCATAATCTGGATAAGACAATGGTAGTGTAGCCCATTTCTTATTGTTACTTAGTAAAATATTACAGGGTTGGGGGAAGTTGAGGACTTTCAAACAAAAAGTTGCAGGAAACTGATGGTTTTAAATACTCTCAGCCACAATGACATGAAAATTTATAAATGTCTTCTGAAAACAATCTGTTTTTAAACACTGAGGTGTAAAGATAGACTATAAAATATATATTTTAATATTTCAGAAAATGAGGGGCTGGCGCCATG